CGGGGCCGGGCCTGGACTCGAGGCAGGGGCCGCAGTCGCGATCGGTGGTCATGTGACTGGGAAGATGGCCGTCTTTCCTTGGTAAGGAAGAAGTGGCGGGTGGGTTGGGGAAGGGCTAGTCCTGGTTGTCTTTGGGTCTGTCCGTCTGTCTGTCTGTCTCTCTGTGCGTATGTATGTAAATTGCACTCTGTCGGGCAGCTCCGGTCTGTCTTGGCCACGGAATCCCCGACCGCTACCCAGAGCCAGGGGAGCTCTGGACTCTCGCCGGGTCTGCCCGTTAGCCGCTACCCGCACGGGTAGGTCCCCATTCATTCTCCCGAGAGAGCTCAAGGCCCAGGCTCCGGCGTCCCCAATAGAGGTTGGCGTGGGGTCGGGGGTGCTGGAGGAAGTGAGGTGCGCCCAGCCTTGAGGGACGACTTGGGAAATCGGACTCCTAAGCCAATTTCCGGGCTGTTCAATCCTAGAGGACACTTTGTTTTCTCACCTCAAGTGGCCACTGCTTAATCCACATGGATTAGAGCCTGCGGTTGGCACAGTTCGTCAGAAAGCCCACAGTCTAATGGAGGAAGACCTGCACGTTCAAAGGAGATCATTTCGGTGAGGCACCAACGGCTCGAGGAAGGCTCAGAGAGGAAGAGAGTTTTCAGTTTTCCACTGGTCTGGAGGAGGAATAGCTCCACTAAGCAGGAGGAACGGACCCGTGTCAAGACTGACGGCCTTGTCAGGGGTGTGGTGGCTGTGCCAGAGCTTCAGATTACCACGGTGATAGGTGTGTTTGGAGAATTCAAGTTGTGATGTGAATAACAGGATTGTTTGGAATTATCTGGGAATGCGAGCTCGCTTCTGCATCTTTGACTTCCCGATTCCCCTAAGCATCCCCATCAAAACCCCCCACCAAAACATCCACAACTCATGGTGAATTGGTTCTTGTAGGTTGCTATGAATATGAACCTTAAGCCTTAGGCAACCACTAATCTGGTTAATATCATTATATTTTCCCCATTCTGGAAAGTTCATGTAAATGAAACCATATGTTATATGGTCCTTTGAGATCATTTTCTTTCATGTATTGTTGAATAATATTCCACCATATATCACATTTATTCATTCACCAGTTGATGGACATGTGTCCATGTTACATGGATCATTTTGGTATGGCTTTCCTCAGCGTGGTCTTGTAATGCTTACAGAATGATTGCATGGGCTTCTGCAAATAAGGTGCTTGTGACCCACCAAGAGGACTGTTAATGCAACTAAGAGGCGTGGAATCCTGGTACGGGAGGATTTTGGCATTTCCAGTGTAATGAGTGATTTGGTAAATCATAAGCGAAGTCTCTAGATACATTGATCTAAAAATAGAAAGTTGCCTGCCCACCTTTAACGAGCATGTGTATGCATCACCTGCTACAACGCAGAATGTGGTTTTGTCGGTCTGGGGCTGCCCAAATGGCTGCATTTCATCCTGCTGCTGCTCTGGGGACCACACTTTGGAGTTAGGAAGGCTAGACAAAGCCAGGAGTGAGGACTGAAATATCTGTCTTTGTATCAACTGCTAGGGAGCCAAAGGAGTCTTTCCTATTGCTGGTGGTTGAAATTAGCGATTTTTTTTCATCACATATATAAACTATATAGCAATGTTTGCGATATTTTACTGAGAAAACTTTGTTAGCAGGAGAGCCCTGGCGACAAGGAGGTTAAGCCCTTGACTGCTAAGTACAAGGATGGTGGTTCGAATGAGGTGGAGGCTTCTTCTGTAAAGATTTGCAGCTTTGGAAAGCCTCTGGGACAGTTTTACCCTGTCCTATCAGAACCCACTCTTGAGTTTTGTTGGCAGGAAGATCAAAGTAAGGATTTTTGAGAAATGCCCACTGGAGGTCGCTGTTAACCTTTGCAAATTCAAGCCAGCGCCAGGCACTTGAGAAAATAAACTTCTCAAACGATAGGAAACATGAGGGTTAGAGAGCAAATTTGAGGAAATACAAGAAATGACAGGAAATGAAAACTGAGCTGTTTGCCATGGGCCTTCAGCGAGAAAAATTTCTATTTCCTTTATTTTTAATTAATTTTTTCTTTTCTATTTTAAGACCTCCAGAAGCAATGTTTTCTTAAAGAATCCCTTTGCATCTTGCTTTTTTAACATAAAATTAATTTCAGAGCTTAATTTTTTTTAAAAATAGACAATCGTTGCTTTAAAAAAAGTTTTATAAAGCCATTGCGTTTCAAGTTGCCTGTGTTGGAATTCAGCTCTAACCACTTACTACT